TACAACCTCTGTGGAAAACGATGTGGCAATTCCTAAAAGATCTAAAACTTGACCTTCCACACAACGCAGCAATCCTCCTTCTGAGAATATACCTGGAGGAACTCAAATCACTCTATAAAAAAGACACCTGCACAAGCATGTTTATTGCAGCATTATTCACAATAGCAAAAACATGGAACCAACCATGCTGCCCATTGAAAGTGGATTGGATTTTAAAAATGTGGTACATATACATGAAAGAATATTATGCAGCCTTAAATAAGGACAAAATTATGAACTTCACAGCAACTTGGATGGATTTAGAACCTATAATACTCAGTGATCTATCATAGAAACAAAGATCCGAGAACCACATGTACTCACTCATAAGTAGACCCTGAACATTTATCATAATACTAAAAGAAAGGTATTGGCAATAGTAGGACACTGCCAGGGGAGGGAGAAGAGGGCACATGACATCAATAAGCATACCTAATCTCAAACCAGGCAAAGTGGGGACCAAAGGAAGGCCCAAACTTTACCTGTAAGATGACCACTTATGTACCTAACCCTGAGTTGTACCCCACACCTTTAAAATAAAAAATATACATAAAATTTCAAAAAAGTTAACATGGATTAAGGACTAAAATAGACATTTCTCTCAAGAAGACATACAAAAAATGCCCAATGTCATTAATTATCAGGGAAATGCAAATCAAAACCACAATATCACCTCACACGTTTAGAATGGCTATATTAAAAAAAAAAAGGTAAGTGTTGGCAAGGATGTGGAGAAATTGGAACACTTGCATTCTTTTGGAATGCAAACTGGTATAGCCACTATGGAAAACAGTATGGAGGTTTCCCAAGAAGCTAAAAATAGAACTACCATATATGATCCAGCAATCCTATTTCTGGGCATTTATCTAAAGGAACTGAAATCAGGATCTCAAAGAGACATTAACACTCCTGTGTTCATTGTAGCACTATTAACAATAGTCAATATGTTGAAGCAACCTAAATGTCCACGGACAGGTGAATAGAAAATGAAAATGTGGAGAAGGAAGTATGCAACAACATAAATAAACCTGGAGAACATTATGCTAAGTGAAATAAGCCAGTTACAGAAAGACAAATACTGCATGATTCCCTTATAAGAGGTATCTAAAATAGGCAAATTCATAGAATCAAAAGTGAAATAATGGCTGAGAAGAAAGGAAATGGATAATTACTAATCAATGGACATAAAGTTCAGTTAAGCAAGATTACCACGTTCTAGAGATTTGCTGTATAATACTGTATAGTCAACAATTTTTCAGTGTATAATACAAGTCTTAAAAGGATAGATACTATATTAAGTGTTCTCACCACAATAAAATGTCCTGCAGAAATATTTGAGAGTAATCAGCATAATGGAGTATCTCAAAAAGAGAATCATTGAAAGGAACCTGTATATAAAAGACTTGCTCCTTAAGAGGATAAAAGTGGAAGGTAAGAGCAGCAGGATAACAAGGAGAATGGATTGGCTCCACAGAAGGCAAGCATTTAAACAGCAAAGAAAAAGGCTTCACCCAACACTGCCCAGAGGTTAAAAATGAGATTCAGACTAATATCCAGTCTAACGGTTTTGACAATTAAGGAACTGGTAACCTCAATTTTCTCACTGAAACAGAATATAAAATAGGACTCAATAAATATTGGTTGGCAAGCTAGCTGACTGAATTACGTGGAAAACCAGCCATCATTACATTAAAAATCAAACATTGGCAAAGGGGACACTGAAAAAGATACAGGACTGAGATAAATTAAGCAAGCTGAAAGACTAAAGGTCACTGCGTTCTTTCTAATGACACTACCTTACACAATCATCCTCCTTTCTCTTCCTCCTACTTCTAGTCCCTCAACAGGACTTACTAGTTGAAACTCAATTTTTTTTCTAATTCATCCATATCTCTCCTTTCCTTGTTTAAGTAATCTCTGAACTCATCCATATGACTTCAATAACTTCAACTGGTCTCCCAGACTCCAGGTTTGCTCCTCTCAAAACCCCACCACGTCATTAAATCTATCCTAATAAGGATGATACCTTATTACCACCTTGCTTAAAACTCTTTAACTGCCATCATCAACAACTGATTTTTTGTAAGATTGTTCTTTATTAGGAATCCAGGTAAATCCTAACAAGAGTAATTTAGTGAAGAGATTGAGCAGATGAAAATCCAGCCTATCTTCATCCTATTATCACTTCTACCAGAGTATTCGGAGCAAGCTTTCATTTGAAGTTTCATCTGCTAAAACCTAAAAACAACAGTCCATATAAGCCCAAATTATTTTTCACAATACATAAGGTATTACATCACCTAAGCCCTTTCTATCTCTCCAACTTCCTCTCTCTCTCTCTCTCTCTCTCTCTCTAGCAGTATAGGGCTACTTACAACTCATGATTTTCCATGCCTTCATGCCTTTACTCATGATTTCTGTTAGCCTACAATGTCCTTGTTCCAGCTCCCTATCCCCAACCCTGTCCTATCTTCACTGAGGTAACTCTCCTTGTCCTTCAAGGCTCTATTCAAATATCATCTCTACTGGAGTGCCTTTCCCAGCCTTCCAGAATCAGATATCCACATAATAGCACATAGCTTCTTTCCATATACTTATGACATATTGAAATTATCTGGTTCCTAGAGAATGAGAGCTCTTTCTCATCTCTGGATATAATATGTTTACCAGATGTTTAACAAATATTTATTGAACTGATTTTTTTTGGCCAAATTATTAGATATTCTACACAGCACTCACTGCTGCTCATAAGAATCCAGAAAACTGAAAGTAAAAATAGACCAATCTTTACTAAGACTGTACTTCAAGATTAGATCACTTTTGTTCAGTTTTTCATGTTCATACTGATGTTAAGAGCAAGTTTCATGAAACAAATGAGACTTCCTCAGCAACAGTTTATCTCAGAAATGGGTCATTTTCTGTGCCTAATCATGCAAAAGATTTCCTTCTTTCTTTTCTTCCTCCCTCCCTCCCTCTCTCCCTCCCTCCCTCCCTCCCTTCCTTCCTTCCTTGTCTGGAGTACAATAGCATGCTCACAGCTTACTGCAGCCTCAACCTCCCAGGCTCAGGAAATATTTCCACCTCAGTTTTCTGAGTAGCTGGGACATCAGGTGCACACCACCATGCCTGCCAATTTTTTTTTTTTGAGAGATGAGGTTTTGCTATGTTGCCTAGGCTGATCTTGAACTCCTGGCCTTAAGTGAGCCTCCTGCCTCAGCCTCCCAAAGTGCTGGGATTACAGATGTGAGTCACCAGGCCCAGCTGACATTTTCTTTTCTTCTTTGGTACAACTCTAATATTTTTTAAACAGAGACACTGACTTCAACATTCACAGAGACAGTGAAGTCAAGTTGTTCCCTCAGGTTAGTAAAAAAGACATCATCCATGTAAGTAGGCCCATGCTCCACAAAATACTCATGGTTCACTCTACCCTACCCAACGATACCATAGTTATTAATATATGCTAATGATACTATCCTAAAAAGTGTGGTCTCAAGTCTATATGTTTATGTCAGTACCAAACTCCCAGGTAAGCGTCACTAAAAAGTATAATGCTCTGCATAGAATGACGGATTAGTAAATGATAATGAATTCCTCAACAAACCATTTAGTTATAACATATTTGAGGGTTAATTATTAATACAGTAAAAATAAAAATAAAAGCAGTCCTAATAATCTCATTGTAACATGCATGAAATAAAATACGTTTTATTCTATCATTATAAAGTTCTCAAATAACTAGAAATTCCTACTTTAAAATAATACACCAATCTAGAATTAGATTATTCTTTCATTGCAACTCTCAATATTATCTCCTAGCTTAAAACTATGGATGAAAAAAAAGCACTCAATTGAAAGAAACAACCTTCCATTACTGAAATCAATAGGGTTAATGCAACAAGTTACCTATGCATATCTATTTTGAATGTATTGTCTGATGTACCCAGAGAAGGCTACTTTCTGGGCAAGGAGAGTAACGTTTGTGGCATACTGATACTCTCAGAAATCAGATATCTTTCTAAGAAAACCAGGTTTGGTATGAATGGAATGAGATGTAGTATCAATTTCTTGAGAGCATTATAGCAGGAAAGAAGTGTCTAAATGAAGCACTGTAAGACTATAAAGAGGAAGAGTCTTTTAAATACAATGAAAATGCATGTTACAAGATCTGAATATATTTGTATCATTTTTACTAACAATTACAAATTTCTGATAAAGTACCTCCAAAGTAATTACCTCTGCTTTCCCCCAAAACTAGGAAGCCAAGCTTTACTAAAGAAACAATAGCTAAATTGTAAAAACTTAGACAACTGCATCTCTGCATGCATACAATTCTTTTTCCTTTCTAGAATACATTTTAATAATGAATTTTAAATCCCAAGATATTTCGAAACAAATTTCAACATTAGCACAACTAAAACAAACCAAAATTGCTTTTATATGTAGCAATATTACTAGTTCAGTATAATAAAGGTAACTAAAGAGAAATAAGTTAAGCTTAGCTTACTAATGTGTTCTATTTTAATCATTCATTTTAGTTTCTGATAAATAGTGTCTTTCTTTTATCTCCCACTTGGAAGCTCCATCAATATCTCTCTGGGTTTTCCCCTCCTTCAGATGGGAAAGAAATTAATGTCCCAGGGTAAAAATGAACCTCCATTATTCTGTGACCACTGTCCAAATGCTAATTACCAGAAAATTAAACAGACAGGAAAAACTAGCATTAACAACCACTTACCTTGGATCCACTGCCTTAAGAAAGAATAGTCTAACAATGCTGTCGATGGTTTTTTGCCACAATAGCATGTGCCTACCTATCTACATGCTTATAGAGCAGTTCTGGTCTAAATTTCAGCTAAATTATTTGTAAATGTAACTGGTTTTAAAGGAAGGTAACTTTATTTAAAGTATCATGTGCAAACATTTGTTTCTAAAACAAAAGAAGATACTTAGCAACGAACCAGCTTTAACTTATTTTTCTGAATAACATCTTTGTTTTCCTTTTGGTATATCTCCATTTTCTTTTTGGTATTGTCCAAATCCACATTGTTGGTCAAGTTGAAAACTGCATCCGAAAGAAAAAAAATGATATGAAAACATTTCTAATATGAATCTTGAGTAGATTATAAAAACTATAATATTTACCACAATGACTTACTTATCAGGTTGTCTTTTTGTTTGTTTTTTTTGAGTTGGAGTCTCACTCTGTCACCCAGGCTGGAGTGCAGTGGCATACTCACAGCCACCCAGCTTCAGGCTGCTAGGTTCCAGCGATCCTTTCACCTCAGTCTTCCAAGTAGCCGGGACTACAGGCATGCGCTACCAGGCCCAGCTAATTTTTGATTTATCGTAGAGAGGAGGTCTCGCCAAGTTGCCAGGGTTGGTCTCAACCCGTGGGCTCAGGCAAGCCACTCGCCTCAGCCTCGCAAAGTGCTGGGATTACAGGCTGAGCCACTGAGCCTGGCCAGTTGTCATTTTTTACAGTTCTATTTGTGACCTTTTAACCTGTTACCTATATTAGAGACTAGTTCTAGTTACAGAAATTATGTCTTATGAGCCAAATATAAGGACAGACTATCTGACTATTGCACAGAATATCTAAATATCAAGATCACTCCAGAAAACCTAAGATTTGTGTTTGCCATAATCAAGTTAAATTTGATTTCTATAGTCTTCACTCTAACTTTAAAAGCATACAAAATATTGTTTAAATTATTTCAATAACAAGAGTAAGAGTAAGTCTGGTATCTACGACAATGGTGAGACTCAATACTGAAAAGAATCTGTGCTTCAGAAAGAGAAACATAATTCCCAAAAGAATTATTAAAAATCATATATTTGTTTAATATATATAAAAACAGGTTTTATTCACATTTCAATTGTCTCCAACATGACTAGGCACAAGCTTGAATTATTTCCCATGTAGTCTAGATCTAGAAAAGTATGAAATAAAAAAGAGTTGAAACTTGAGGAAAAGGATAAACTGGAACCAAAAACCAGACTAAAATAATTTAAGAGAAGTCACTGAGACATGTTTGGACACTGCTAAATTTTCAGTGAATTAGAATTCTCCTTTTCAACTCAAAATAATTTGACCAATTTAAATTTGAATTATAAATGCCACACTCCCTTCTAATTTTACATATATAAATCAAAAGGTCACTATAATACTCTGAACAACAAAACCCTCTTTTGGTATATATAAACTCATATGGAAGAATCCATATCGTAAGACTCTCTTATTCTGTAATTCAATTCAGGCCTCCCTCAGCTTCCCTTGTCATCTTTCTCCATCCATTTTTAGCCCTTCCATTCCTTCTCCAATAACTTACCACTGCTTCTGGCTTTTTATCCCACAAATAGGATGGCTCTACCCTAAATAACTGCTCTACCCTCTGAATTTCTACAGACTCCTTCCCCCATCTCACTCTTCTTTACCTAATAACCACCTCAAATAGTTCCTAGACTTCTGAATTGTAGAAGCTTATAAGAGTTGAAAAGTAATAATGGAGAACCAACAAAGAACTGCCTATTTTGCTGAATAAGGCCATCAAACAGACTCAAAAGACCAATTTGTTCTATAATTCCATTTTTACCTTCTCAAAAGGTCAACTTATTTCTTTTTATTTATTTATTTTTGAATTGGAATCTCACTCTGTCGCCCAGGCTGGAGTGCAGTGGCATGCTCAAAGCCACCCCAACATCAACCTGCTGGGCTCAGGTGATCCTACACTTCAGCCTTCCAAGTAGCTGGAACTCTAGGCGCCCGCTACCACACCCAACTTTTTCTTTATAGTAGAGACAAGGTCTTGCCAAGTTGCCCCGGTTGGTCTTGAACAGGTAGGCTCAGGCAATCTACTCGCCTTAACTTCCCAAAGTGCTGGAATTACAGGCTGAGCCACCAAGCCTGGACTGATTCATCTTTATTATCACTCCTACTACTTCTACTACATTCCTATTAGAATGGCAAAAACCCAACCACAGTGCAAAATGCTGGCAAGGATTGGGAACAACAGAAATTGTCATTCACTGCTGGTGGGAATGCAAAGCAGTATAGCCACTTTGTTAACAGGTAGTTTCTTACAAAAGTAAATATACTGTACTATACAATCCCAAAATCAAGCTCCTAGATATTTACTCAAATGAGTCAAAAACTTATGTTCACACAAAAACCTATATGCAAATGGTTAGTTTGAATTATTTATTCATAATTACCAAAACAGAAACAACCAGGCTATCCTTCAATAGATCCGAACAATAGAATATTATTCAGTGCTAAAAAGAAAGGAGCTATAAAGCCAAGTAAGACATGGAGTAGCCTAAAATGCATATTACTAAGTGAAAAGAAGTCACCCTGAAAAGGCTACATACTGAATGATATTCTGGAAAAGTTAAAACCACAAAAAAAGTAAAAAAAAAAATTTTAAAAAACCAGTAGTTTCCAGGGTTTAGGGAGGGATGAATAAGCAAAGCAGAATAATTTTTAGGGCAGTGAAAAGACTCTGGAGGATACTCTAACAGTAGATGCATGCCATTATATATTTGTAAAAACCCATAAAATGTACAGTACCAAAAAGTGAATCCTAATGTAAACTATGAACTTTAAGTGATAATGACATGCCATTGTAGGTTCACTGATTGTAACAATGAACTGCTCTGATGCAAGATGTTGCTAGTGGGAAAGGCTGTGCATGTGTGGGGAAGGAGCTCTATGGGAACTCACTATACTTTCTGCTCAGTTTTACTGCCACTCTAAAACTGCTCTAAAAAATAAAGTCTAACAAAAAAAGCAACTTCTGATAAGAGCTCAAGAAACATTTGATTTATCACAGAAGGAAAAAAATACAAACATTTATAATTAGTTTTATAATTACAGATTCAATTAAACCTTTATAATTACAGACTTAAACATGGCAAAGTAGGAAGAGTCAAAACTACAGGAACAAATAATCTTGGTTCTTTATCAATATGAATCTTCTGAAAAGTATCAGTAATCAAATTGATATCCTATGTGGAATTCTACTAGTGTGTTTAAAGCAGTGCAGAAAACACTACTATTTATTAGCAAGCTAGATGGTTTACTACTGATTTAACTTATTTTAACTTTCCATTAAATGTTTATTATGCCTATTAAAAACTATGATAAATTATAATAAAAGTAAAATAATTTATTTCATATTTTAATTTAGAAAGCAGAGGTAATAGCAACATAATGGATACAAATCATAATCATAGATAATACAAACCTCTTCCTTTAAAAAAAAAAAGAACCATAAAAGTGATTTGCTATATTTAAAACTTTTCAGATGAAGCAAGCCTCATTCATGCTACAATGAATTAGATTGGTATAATAGCCTTAAAGAAAAAGGAATAGAAGCTAATCTTCTATAACAATCATTTGGCCCTTTATCTGCTTAATGGTGTAGATCAGCTGTTGACCTGCCTTTAGTCAAGTATTAAAAGCAAACAGAAAAACAATTGTATTTTTGGAAAGATTTAATGTTATTTAAGAACAATTTTGAAGTATTTTTGACATTCAGAATTTAGAACGAAGCCCTTAGGACTTTCTCACCCTTTTAAAGTAAGTATTTTCTACACCAAAAGAACAATCTGTTTATTATGAAACTAAGAACACACCTTTGAAATAACTTCTGAGGCCATAAGAAACAAGAATTTTTATGTATAAATTGTCATAACCACAGAAAGAAAAGAGCCTACTGTTAATAAGAAAGTTCATCTTGATGATATGTGCCCCTTCTATTGTTTTGGGGTTTTGTTTTTGTTTTTGAGTTATGGTGAGACCCAGGCTGGAGTACAGTGTCACAGTCACAGCTCACTACAACCTTGACCTCTTAGATGATCCTTCCCCCTTAGCCTCTGAGTAGCTGGGACTACAAGCACACGCCACCAAGCCCAGCTAATTTTTTTATCATTTGTAGAAGCGAGGTCTTGCTCTGTTGCCTAAGCTGGTCTCTAACTCCTGGGCCCAATCCTCCCACCTCAGTCTCCCAACGTGCTGGGATTACAGGCATGAGCCACCATATCTGACTGTACTGCAAACTTTTTATGCCATTATTCAAAATTATAATTTTTTAATTTTTATATTTGTGATGTTCAAAGAATTCATAATGAAATTTAAATAACAAAATTTCAATCCCCAACTTACGAATCCTCAAACACTGGCCCTCTGGGGTACCCCACTAACTCTAGTTCTCTCACTCTAGACTTAAACATCTTTAAAAGTTCTTCTATCTTTAAGATCAAAATCAAACTTCTTTAATATTCTTCAAAATATTCTTCAAAATGGCCCAACCTATCTTTTGTTCCTCTCATCTCTGACTATTCCACAGAACCCCATGTTCTATATTGAGAGTGAGAAAAATTCATGTTTAAAGTTTGGTTCCATCATTTATTAGCAATGTGATCTTTGGCACAATACTTAAAGCTTTCTGTGTCTCCCAGATGCAAAATAGGAATAAAAATGCCTGCCTCTTAGAACTTTAAAAATTATATGAGAAAATGTGCATACAGCTGAGTCTGGTACTTAGCAGGTGTATATTAAACTAACATTTGGGAGGACACAACATCAATTTTTTAAAAACAACTAATGTTTTTACCACTTTTCATTAACACAAATAGCCAAGACAGATATCACAAATGTCTAAGTAATCATCTTTAAAGGATGAATAAAACACAAAGTTGAAAGCTACTGAGATAAGATTTCAAAAAGAAGTGTTATTTATACGATGAAAAGCAGAACAATGCCACACAACTAAGTGGAGGAGCCACACCCTAACAAAACTTAAAAGGTCTAAAACTAAAGTCTTTACCTCAGCTCTCATGTCTGCATACTCCCCACCCAACAAAAGAAAACAATAAAAAAGACTGTCTAAACCGGGCTCGGTGACTCAGCCTGTAACCCCGCGCCTTTGGGAGGCTGAGGTGAGTGGATTGCCTGAGCCCATGGGTTCGAGACCCGCCTGGACAACTTGGCGAGACCTCATCTCTACAATAAATAAAAATGAGCCAGGCAAGGTAGTGCTCTCCTGTAGTTGCAGCTAGTTG